ATGAACAGATCTGTGATGGCGCTCTTGTCCACTTTCAATAAATCCTCGGCGGACAAAGCCTGAATCACCAAGGCACCTTTTTTCCAGGACAGTCGGGGTATCGCGTTTTTTTTGGCACTGACAATCGGTTTTTCGTCGGGTTCAAGGACCAAACGCTGTATTTGTTCTTTCATCACATTGTGCATGATTTTGTTGTTCACTTCTTGCATCACGCGTTGCCAAAACATACTCCCCGTCGCCACGATTTGATTGGCATTCATGATCTCTTCCAATTCCACTTCGCAGTCCACGGTTTTGGTTTCCACCCGTCGATAGGAGTTTAGCACAAACTTGCGGATCACATACGTCATTTTGAATTTGAGCACTTTGGTATGAGGATCCGCGGCGATGACGGCATTGCTCTGGCCTTGATCCGGGACCGTCAGGGACATCAAGGAGGCATGCCACCCCGCGCCCGGTAACACCAGCCGTTCGGGCAATCGCACCTTGAAACTGTTGTTGGCATTGTTGGGAAACTCGTTGGTGGGATCGCTGACCAGCGTCAGGCGTTTAATCTCGTTCATCCTGAGGAGGAGTGGTCTCCTCCCAATGGGTCAGGGTCCCTTTTATAGCCATTGGGCCACTTTCTGTTTGCTGCGAGGGACGCGTCCTACCACGGAATTGAAGGTCGATTGTTTGGGATGAAAACACACTTGCTGGGCAATGTTGGGAAAGGCCCGGGCCAATTCCATCAGGGTCATGCACGTCTTGGGTTTGGGGGGTTTCTTCTTGCGCATCGGGGGATGACGACCCGCGCGTCGGCGTTGTTGTTTTTTCTTGGTGGGGGACCGTAAGGCCCCTCGTTTCTTGGCGTACGCTTCGGCTCGATGGTACGCATTGGCGTACGCCCATTGTTGCTTGGTCGGACTGGCCAACTTGTCCCACCACGGTTGGGTTTGCCGTTGTTCGGCCGCTTTCTTCTGAATGAATGTCAGTACGTCGGCGTCACTGGTGGGCGTGGGGGTGTAACTGGCCCGCGGTCGACTGGAATCCGCCTGCACCTCATCGAGAAACCGTACCCGCTTTTTTCTTTTTCGAGGCGTGATTTTGACGCGGACCATGGTGCGCGGGAATCCAACTATCGTACTTGGCCGGCCACCCTTTCCACCGGACCAACACCCGGCGTCCTTGGCGTTTCAAGACTTTTTCGACCCGAAATAACGAGTCGTCCGACACTTGCACTTTTTGAACATCGGGTTCGTAAAACGTGCCTTTTATAGGTGTGCCGTCCCATTCACTGAGTCGATACGTGACGATCGGATGACGACGGACGTGCGTGACCACAAACACTTCTTCCGTCCACCCGGGCAAATACCCTTTTTTGAAGGGACGATGTTTCTTGTTGAGACGCACCCGATCCCCCACGCGACATTTAGGCGGTGGGGTCGTTTGCTCCAAACGCGCACCGTAGAGTCGGTCCCACACCTCCGGGACCGTTTTGGGGGTGACTTGATGCGGGGCCATGCCAATACTGCGATGCTGGGTGTGATTGTAGGTATGGATCAAGGGTTGTAACACGTCCACGTACCGTAACGTATTGTGAGCGGTGAAATAACGGTACATGCGTTGTTTCAACGTGCGATGCCATCGTTCCACCACGGAGGCCTTGCTATCCCCAAACGTGTAAAAATGATGCCACCCCTGTTGCTTGAACCAGGCTTGCACTTTTTTATTTAAAAATTCTTTGCCTTGATCCGTCTGCACGCGGAGCGGTCGTCGCGGCGAGGCTTGTCGACGAATCTTGTCCAACCCTCGGAGCATCTCCGTGCTGCTTTTGGATTTGATGGGGACGGCCCAGGCATACTTGGACAGGACGTCGATCACCGTCAACAAATAGTTGTTCCCCTGATTCCATCGACGGAGTTTTTGCATGTCGACCAAATCCATTTGCCATTGTTCGTCTCGGTCAAAGACCAACGTGGGTGCGGTGGGAAACCGCGTCCGTCGGGGTTTGTGGAGGGTATAACTCAACACCGATTGGAGAATCTGTTGGGCTTGCGGGGTTTTCAATTTATGGGCTTGGGCAAAGGGTCGGACCCCGCCCAAGGCCCCGGGTTGCTGGGGATCTTCGTAAGCGCGTGGCCACGACATCAAGACACTGACACACACTCGTAGCCAATCTCGGTCTTTAATAGTTTTTTTCACACACCTACATGAATTTTTTTTCAAACAAACACGAGCTACCAAAGTTCTTATGCAAATGGCGCGTCCTCTCCCGCTCCCTCTCCTTGGCTTGGATGGCTTCCCCAAACTGATTGGCCCACGGCCAATGCCTCTCCACCAAGTCCCTCTCTGAGTTTTTCAGCAGGGGAACGGCAGGCATGCCCCATGGTCTGACGGACGCCTTCTCATAGTCATGGACCTCAGGGGGTGTGTCTTTCACCCATCGTCTCAGGGTGGGTTGCGCTTGCTCTCGGGGGGACCACAGCGGGCCATGGAGCCATTGAAAGTAGCCACAGGGATCTTGGCCTGGGAGAAAGCTGCCACAACTAAAAAACACTTTCTGGTAATTCTTGCTGGTTCGGCTCAGTTTCATCCTAGGGACCAACCCACATTTGCATTTGAGCTCCCCTCGTTGCAATCGGGCCCGGACTTGAGGGTGCGTGTCTTCTTTCAATTTCTCCATCATCACTTCCCGACTATCTTCAAACAAATACACGGGACACCCTTCTTGGGGGCACTTGAACCTCAACTGGCCAAATTGGGTCTGGGGGTTGACGCAATAGATGTATTCACAAGGATGAAAGGGGCACGTTTCATACAGGAGCTTGTTCAACTGGGTGTCCATCTGGTCAAGGTCCTGGATGTCCCATTCCCCTACTTCTTTAGCAGGATCCGCCTGACACGTCCCTTCCTCTAGAGACTCTTCCTCATAGTCTTTCAGGGTGCCCTCCATCAAGGCTTTCACCGATGGGTCGGGGGAGACGGTAGGGGAAGGGGTGGGTGGCGGGTCTGCTCGGGGCAGGGCGTTCAGAGCGATCACGAGTCCACTGGTGGGGGTTTGGGTGGCTTTCCTTTCTACGGCGGACGCTTGAACTTCCTCTGCTTCAGCTCGGGGCAAACCGATCATCGTCATCTCCAGTTCACGGGTGGCTTTCATGTCTGGGGCTTTCTTACTACTACTACTCACTCGGCGTCGTTTGCGTCCTGAGGGCACCGCAGCAGGTTGAGTGGCTTGACGTTCCATGTCTGGGCGGAATGATTGGGGTGCACGTCTGGTCTGCCTTTTATAGCCCATGTCTCTGCGTCTCGTGATCCTCCTATGATCTTGGTCTCCACCAATCCTGTCTCAGCCCTTACACTCGTGAGGGTGGTGTGATCGGAAGGTCCACCAATCAGAGCCCACGCCTTCCGCTATAAAACAGAGGTGGCACAACAGCCATCTCATTCATCACAGCTCTCTCCCATCCAAGGTAAGCGAACATGGCGTTGAACCAAGTGGGTCTCTTGGTGTACAGTCAGAGGTTTGCCCTTTCCCGAGACGAGTATATTATTCGAGAACTGGCCTTGTGTGATTGGACAGGGCATCATCATGTGTTGTTCAAATACCTGTTACCCCAGGGTGTGTCATACGATCAATTATCCGAGAAGGCCAAGACACGTGTCGATCGTCAGACCCAGACAGTGCACGGGTTGCCTTTTGAACCGTCCACGGTGTACAACCGCCACGAGTATCATCCCTACCGTCAGATCCAGAACGATCTCACCCGTTGGTGTCAACAATACCTTACCCCCCAAACGGAATCGACTTGGGGAGTTCACACTCAATGGTCTGTATCGATTGTTGCACGAACCCGGATTTTCGTACCCCCTCGTGGTCTTGGAAGGGCAGGGCTGCCCGGACTTGGCCAATCTTCCCATTGCCACCGTCAATGTGATGGCCACGAACGATCAGGGGCGTAATTGGTGCATGGATCATACCGACGGAGCCCGTGAGAGTGGGGTCTGGCACGATCATTGTGCTCGCGTCCGAGCTTGTCAAATGAGTGGGTGGTTACGTCGCCACTCCCATGTCTTACCCACCCTGTACCAAGTCAATGCCCAACGCGTGCTGTGGCAAAAACGATGCGATCGTCTGTTGGATGTGATCTTATGCAACCCTTGTAAGGACGACAAAGACAAGGCGTTCGCTCAAGGACAAGGCCTGGATTGGATTCCTGATAATTGCTCCAACTGTCGCCACGCCCGACGTATTTTCGAACAAACGGTCACGTGTCGGGAATGGCAAACCCCCATGCTGTACGCTGACGATGAACCGCATACCATGTGGGCGTGGACTCCATTATCTCACCCTAAACACTGTTTTTAATTTTTCACAGAATATGCCATTGACCATTTACACGGGAGGCGCTAAAGGCGTGGACACGCATGTCGAAAGATTATGTCAGATGTATGGTCATGCGTGTGTGGTCGTCATTCCACCCTGTCACCCTCGAGCCAAGTCCCTCGCGCCCTTGACGCAAACGGAGCTGGACGCCGCCACCCCCACCGTGACCCAGGCCGCGTTTCGATTGGGTCGACAAGTGCATCATCCTATCAGTCTCCAGTATATCCAGCGGAATGTTCACGTGATCCAGCCAGCGTCTTTAGTTTTGGCCGTGGGCTATTTTGACGAGTGTCGCAAGCATGTGTTGGGCGGGACAGGCTGGGGTGTGGTCATGGCCCAGCTCTTAGGCAAACCCCTCTATGTCTTTGATGTGGATCGGGAAGAATGGTTATGGTGGAATCCCACCCTAGGTCAATATCAACCACGCGAAGGCATGACTGAGGACAGTATCGCGCTCCCCACCCTCCAAGACAAGACCGCCATTGTAGGCACGCGGGAAGAAGACCCAGCGATCTATCCCACCCTGGAAGCTTTATTTAAACGTACATGAACATTAAACAGAAAAACACGGTTCAGACCATATCACTTGTTTTAAATGAATATCCATCACAATAAATCTCATGGCTGACACGGTATTCATAATCAAGTCCAGTCTCTTCATGACTTTGTCCACTGTATCGTACGCGGCCTTCCTCCTGCCACTCATGACGGGGAGTCTTCCAAGGGGACACTGGGGGATCTGATGCTTGAAGGTATCAATGATAAAGGCAATGCCCTCATTCATCAAGCGGTCGAGATTGGGGGGTTGACGCGCCATCTCCACCATCATGCCAATCTGAAATCCAGACATAACCAAGACATTCAGCTAACTAACAAACCAAAAAAACAACAACAACAACACCGTTCCCTTACCGATAACCGGTGATCCATGAGGCGGTGGCAGTGGTGGCAGCCATTTTTTCTGGGGGCGTGCAACCGCACCACCACCTGGTTCCACCAACGGTCCTCGCCCAGATGTTGGGGGAAACCTGTCAGGTCGCATTTGGGTAGACCCTTGATTTCTCGCACCACCTTCTTTCGCTCATCCATAGTGTAAAAGCAATGGACCCAAAACATAATCTTCACTTGGACCTCTAAGGGCAACACGCGGCCAAACGGTTTGTTCTTAGGATCGACTAACCCTCGGCAGTCCATTCTGACACAATGAACAGCATGCGATTGATGTCTCTTCTTGACATTCCCTTATTAATCCTCTGGTATCCACCAATCACGCACTCGCGCTAGACCCCCTGGTCCAGGGATGAAAAGGTGTACCCATGGGGGGTACCCCTTAGAGTCTCCTCTCCTTCCTAGACACCCCACGTGATGGCTCTCCACCAATCTGATTCGCTCGTGGAGTCTCTAAATCACGTTGCGCGCCCCGTGTGGGTTCATTCCAGTTTGATCCGTGTTGCTGAACAAAATGGTGAGCTCTCTGCAATCGTTGGTTTTGTACTCCGTGCCGATCGCCATATTGTTTGATATGCTGAAGATGTTGGACCGCCTCCCGATGGGAAAGGAATGCCTGCGCGCCTTGTTCAGACGCTGCACCCACGAAGAGTTGAGGGATTGGGCCAAAACGTTGCGTGGGACCACCCTGTTGCCCGGAAACTGGATCATGAGGTCCATCGCCGTCGCATGGCGGGTAAGTGTTATGGCTTTGATTTTTTTCGGGTGTGGGCCCCTTTTCCTTATCCCTTTTTTTTTTTTATTCCTAGACGTGTTCAAGGGGTTTGCGTTTCTACGCACCGTGCTGTGGCCTGTCCACTTGTGTCTTTGCCCTCGACGAGCTCGCCTCAATTGGGCCGCACGGTTCTGGGTCTCAACCTGTTCGTGTTAAATTTTTTTTTATTAGATTCTTGGGAGTTTGTGGAGAATCAGCCTGTGTGCCACATTTACCAGTGGGTCGCCCATCCCACCCCTGGCGGAGTCTGTAACCATTGCGAGAGGATGATGGAGGGCTTACGACTAGATGACGTTATTGCTGGCAACAGGGAGGGGTCCCTCACCGAAGATGAGATAGTGGAGTTTGTGCAGAGTGGGGACCCCAACCATCGGGACTGGGACGATTTTCCGCTGCGCATGACCTTTCGAATTAATTCGTTTCTCCGGCGCCAGGGTCCTGTGGGTGAACCGGATTTGGTTGCCTTAGGTTTTTTAGAGGATTGATTTTAGTTTAAATTTTTTTTTACAGCCACGCATTGCCTGTTACGTCATCATACGCAATGGATCCGCCCTTTGCAATCCGGTTTCTTTCGTACCAGTATTCCCATTTTGATTCGTCTTTCCACCTCTTTGTAGGCTTTCATTATACGTTAAAACATTATGGAGGATGGATTAGACCCGTGCAATTGCGATGTCATTATAGTACTGTTCGATGTGTAATCAGTCTTCATGAAACGTTTCAGATGTGACTTCTACTATTGACCAATGGGGGTGGATCCTTGCCTTGCAACAACGATACCATATTCATAGTGTTCCACATCTCATTCAATTCTGTAATGACACTGCTTTTTAGGCACGCATTTCTTCCTCAAGAACAACCACCGGCTCCGAGACGATATCAATTACTTACTCATGGCCTTAGACCATTATTATTAATTTCTTTTTGTAGATTCGCATACCATTCTCAGCACCCACAGGGTTCATGGTACCTCCGCTGCATGGTGTTCCATCGGCAGTATCGTGCAGTGGTACAATGGATCAGGGGTCGCCCTTCCATGTCCGAGACCCATTAAATTACTCTGTTGTCGTTGTTATTTGAACTTTCGTTTTGCCGGCGACTTACACGTGCCCTGTTATTGGTGCGAGATGTTGCAAGGCATGGGGCACCCACCCCGTCCTTAAAAACCTATGTTTTTTTATTTTTTCAGATTCTCATTTTGTCCTACGAGCCATTTATCTCCCTTTCCTTTTTCAGCCATTGCCCAGGTGATGGAGCAACATTCCAGAAACCTCCAAAATTTGACGGGACAATTATATTTTGTATGTAAACGGTGCTGGATTTATTTACGGCACGTGTCCACCCTCCATGAACCTTGTCGGGGCTGTGCCATGATGGAGAGCCTGGATTGGGAATTTTGAACACCCGGCAGGGGGAGGTCTGCATGGTGGCGCCACCCCTGCTGGATGTTCATAATTTTTTTTTTAATTTAATTAGATTCCCATTGGATTATTGATCGTGTGATGATTTTCCAAAGCTGGCCCATCCCTCATAAACATTGTATCGTCAATCATCGAGGATGGTCCAGCTTACTCCATTTGTTCAAACCTTTTTCCCAGAAACGCATTGGATCCTAGAGCATTTTGATTTCACGCAAGATTGGATTTTAATCGAATTGTTTTGTGTACAATCTTTCCAGGGCGTGACACCACGAGGGCGTCACACACGTCCCACTTTGTAATCAAGTCTTTTTTTGTTTTTCCAGTCAATCATTGGACAATAACCCACCGCCTCGTGCGTGGCAATGGTCGACTGTTTCTCATTCAGTTTGCTTCTTGGCTCTAATCACCCTCCTTCTAATTCATTTCAGCCACCCGTTTCGATTTACGTCGTCATTTACTCAAACCGTGGTCATTGATAGGTTTCAACCACTACATTCCATGGCCTAATCCATTGCTCATGACTCCTTCAGCCAGGAAGCAAACACCCTTTCTTCGCAATGTGTATTTCATGTAAAACAATGGGCGTGACGTCATTCGGGCGTCACACACGTCCCGGATGTAACTTAGGGCATTCTCGAGATTTGTTTTTTTGTATTAAATGATGTTGACCTCTATACAGTGTGTTTTTTGTTGACTTCTGGTGATGCGAGAGGACTGGGGCTTCGTTTGAGTGTTTGCGCATGCGCTGTAGGTCTAGGCGGAAATGTGCTCCTATGAATGCGGGGGACCTGGGGAGTCGTTGGGCGGTTTGCGCATGTGCTTATGATCCCAATCACGTGACTGCGCAGGGGAAACGTCTGGATCCGAACTGCGCATGCGTCCCACTTGTCACCAGGCTTTACGCGGTACGGTCAATAAAACTATGCCAAGTATGTGGATCCACCTCTTGTGTGTGCGTGTTCTTTTCCCCATGGGGTCACGTGAATTGGATGCCCAAATATGGGAGCTTGTGACGTCAATTTGGTCACATGGGCTCAATGCTCGATTCTGATTGGTTCACCACCATTTCTGCTGCGCTGTGATTGGTTGGTCCCTAGTGTAGCCTCTATCACTACTTACCAGGTGAGGAAAATTTAAACAATATCGCATTCTTTTTCACATTTTTCAAGGGATAGGTGTAATTAGATATTGATAATAACACCGAACAAAATTTATCATAAGAGCCCGAGAAAATAAATGTCAAATACCTTACACATGAAATTTTCAGAATTTCACCTGTGTTTTCACAATTCTTGAGAAATTTGACCTTTATTTTCTCGGGCTTCCATGGAAAATAGCCTTTGGTGTTATTACAGATAAATAATCAAATCATCGTGAGTTTTCTTTCTTTTCTTTCATTTTTCTCTTCCCTTCCCTTCTTTCTTTCTTTTCTATTTTTGTATGTGAGTGTTTGTGTGTTATTTCTTATAACCATTTATTATAAATATATATAATTGTAAACTATTATTGTCCAGCCTAGAATACTAGCATTTTTGCTAATTGTGTGGACAAGACAACTGTAACTTGTTGCGTGAAATTCATTAAAGATTGTTGTTTTTTGCTTTTGTTGATATAAAAATATTTTTTTTTAGATTATTTTCTGGTTAATGCAACTCTTTATCACAAGAAAGGCTTTGGACGTAGCCTCGTTTTGAAAGTGAGAGTTTTTGGAAATCGCAAATAACTTTTCTGGATGTATGTTTGTCAGGATGATTTTGAGCAAGCGTACGTCCAGCGGTATCATCACAACTTGCATGCTTCTTTTCCTGCGCGTCTAGATCGAAGTATGATGACAGCGAAGACGCGCAAGAAAAGAAGCATCCTTGACTTCGAATATTTTTCTTTTTTATAACATTTTATTGTGCAAAACTATAACCTTTTAAATTGAACTAACATACATGTATGTAACTACGTGGATGAAAACAGTACAATTTAATAAGCTATAATTTCCGTAAGGGCAAGGGCAAACGAGATCTTTGACCTATGCAAACTACGGCGAGAGGCAGAAAATAAATCAACTCGAGAAAAATTTCAAATCGTAACACTGATTTACTGTGCGTCATTTTAATCATTGGGCCAACAAAGTCCCAACTTACAAAGAAATCGTGATTGTAGGTGTATTCCTTCCCACAACATTTTAAATTGATTAAAAAACAGGGTCTGTAATCACGGGAAAACGTGTTTGCTAGTGTTCATCTTTTCTGATGCATGTGCTCATAGTATTATACTTGCAATTTGGAGCCTTTAGTTAATAGTGAATCTATTTCTTCCTGCATTTAATTAGCAGTAAGACTTGCTGAGCCCAATTAGACCCCTCTGTGAACAACAGAAAGCTAAGCTTCGTTGAAACTTAATGGGCTATTTATTTAAACGAAGTCTAACTTAAGCCGCGGTTTAACATATCTTTGGACCTCCAGATCTCTTCATTGGTGCGTTATTTTAAGTAGATAAGTTTCTACTCTTATGCTTTCATAAAACTATTCACAATAAATAAATAAAAAATGGTCGGTTTAGATAAAAGTGTTGGGCAAATTGAAATTGGCTTAGAACGCGGTTTTGTTCAACACTCTGGCTAAACTACGTTTAAATAACTGGCCCGATAACTTTAAAGTTCTATTCAAAGTAGAAGTATCAGACGAACCTTCACGGAGAAAGGTCTTTAGCTGGGTGGTGGACAAAACACTGACCCCCTGTCCATGGACTACCCATATGGACTACTTTTTGATTGATTTTACTGGTAGTAACTTCATGCCCTACTTCATGCCTTAATTGAGGTTAATTGTTAACCACTTATGAAAATTTCAAATTTAAATTTTAGGAGCCGTTAAAAATATTTTCTCTCGGTATAGCTCTTGCCCTGAGGAAGGCTAATTTAAATATTTGTTGGCCGAAATATCA